CGCATGGAATTATCTGACACGGATCGTGCCCCCCAGCCCGCACGCAAGGGCGCGCGAATGATGTTGGCATGCGGCGCGCTCGGTTTTGGAGTCGCTACGAAACTGCAGGTTTTGACTCATTTCGGCATGCGCGCGCGACGGCGCGCGCGCTTGCACTTCGTCTCATTGTTGCACGGTGTTCTCGCGACGGCACGTGCGCGCGAAGCCCGTTTGGCAGCATGTTCTGAACATGTTAAAACCAACCAATGGTTTTCTTCAGAATTTGCAAGAGCGCGCGTTGTTTGCTGCTGTTTGTTATTTGAGCATATGCGTTGCGAGACCAAGTGTTTTTTGTTTATTGTTTGGACATTCGATCTTGAGATCCGTGCGAAACCGAAGGTTTTTGAAGGCTTTCGACATGCGCGCGCGACGACGCGCGCGTGCTTTTGTTTGTTTTGGTTTCTCGCAAGGGGTTTTTGAAAAGTTATGATTTTTGATCAACGAATTTGCGCGCGTAGAATGTTTTTGCATATTATAGCGGGGGGGGGAAGGCGATGCCGTTTGGGCTGACATGGTACGAGCTCTTATTTAGGATGGGCGATGGGGCAGAATCATCTGCAAATTGCAATACGAAAAGGGGAACCGAGAATCCCGGGGGGGGGGGGGTAGAGTCTACTTGCAGTCTATCGCGTGGCACAATCTATGTGGCGCAGTTGATTTCGACAAACGAGTTGACACATCCCGCGCTCCTGCAAACATCCCACCCACCCACCCGCAAATTGGTTTGCAAGACCCATACGGTGGCGATTGCGATGCGTGCTCGGCGTTGGCTGGTGCGTCCCTGCGGCCGCGCCAAAACAAACACGCGCGCGCAGCGGCCAGCTGGTTTGGCGCGACCGGCGCGGCCGCGATGGCGCTGATCGTTGGGCACATACCACCAGGCACTTTTCTGCGAGTCGGCGATTTGGGCGGGCGCGGTGTCATGGCAACGTCGACAACGGTAGACGTTGCGGACGAGTCTCCAACGACTTTGACGACGACGACAAGGACGACGACGACAACACCGACGACGACGACGACGCCGACGCTGACGACGACGACGACGATGACAACGCCGACGACGACCACGCCGCCGACGACAACGACGACGACGACGAGGACGACGAAGACGGCGACGACGACGGCGACGACGAAGACGACGACGACGTCGCCAACGAAGACGACGACGACGAGGGAGGAGGGAGGACGACGACGGCGACGACGACAACGACGAGGAAGGAGGGAAGACGACGACGACGACGACGACGGCGACGAAATAGGAGGGACAGCGGCGAAACGCCGACGAACACGATGAGTGAGGAAGGACGACCACGGCGACGCCGACGACGGAAGCGACGACGACGCCAAGACGACGACGACGACGACCAGGAAAGACAAAGGACGACGGCGACGACGACGACGACGACGAGCGAGGAGGGAGGACGGCGACGACGACGACGACGCAAGCGCACGCGCGCACGGTTTTGCTGAAAATCCGTGTTGCAGAACCTTGTATTTTTGTATGTGTTTTGGACACGATTTTGATACCCTTCCGAAGCTGTTAGTTTTTGAAGGATTGCGGCATGTGCGCGCGACGACGCGCGCGTCTGCACTGCGTCATTTTTTGCAGAGGGTTCTCGCGACGGCGCGCGCGCAAGCGCGTTCGAAACATTTCGACATTCGCGCGCGAAGCCCGTTTGGTAGTTTGTTTGTTGTAAATATTGAGCAACACATGGTTTTCGTAAGATTTCGCAAGAGCGCGCGCGTAATCTTTTTTAGAACATCAGTGTTGCGAAACCCTGTGTTTTTGTATGTGTTTTGGAAGCTCGATTTTGAAATCCTTCCGAAACCAATGGTTTTTGAAGGATTTCGGCATGCGCGCGCGACGACGCGCGCGTGTGCACTTCGTCACATTTTTTTGCAAGGGATTCTTGAAAATCTAGGATTTTTGGTGAGCGAGTGTGCGCGCATTCCTTTTTGTTGCGGGTGGTGGGGGTGGGGGGGGCGACACCGGTTTAGCTGGGATAGTATGAGTTCACAGTTAGGATGGACGGTGGGGCAGAATCATACGTGCAATACGATAAGGTGACCCGTTAACCCGGGGGGGTAGAATTTATTCTTCTTGTAGGGCGGAGAATTGAGTTTAACGAGTTGACGCATCCCATGCTCTGGCAAACATCCTTCCCACCCATCCGCAACATGGCTTGCAAAACCCACGCGGTGGCGATTTCGATGCATGCTGCCGCGCCAACCCGAGCGCGCGCGCAGCGGCCAGCTAGTTTGGCGCGACCGACGCGGCCGCGGTGGCGCTGACCGCTGGGCGCATCCCAGCGGACACTCCACTGCGAGTCGGCGACTTGGGCGGGCTTTTGTTTTTCTTCAAGTTTTTTCCAGTTGTTTTTAAGTGTTTCGGTTTTTTTATATGGATGTGCAAACGGTTCTTGCAGCGGCGCGCGCGCAAGGGCGCTCGAACGATTTCGACGCGCGCGCGAAGCCCGTTTGGTACCACATTCTGTGCATGTTGAAAACACTTATGGTTTTCTTTATATTCACAAGTGCGCGCGCAAGCTTGTTTTGAAAAACAGTGTTGCGAAACCGTGTGTGTTATATTTTTTGGGGCGCTCGATTTCGACATCCTTACGACGCAGAAGGTTTTTGATGGGTATGGGCATGCGCGCGTGACGACGCGCGCGCGTGCATTTCGGTATTTTTTACAAGGGGTTCTTAAAGATTTAATGATTTGCGATATGCGAGCATGTTGTTGCAGAGGATGGCGGGGGGGGGGGGGGGCGCGATGCCGGCTCGGGTGGATGGTGCGAACTCATATTTCGGATCGACGATGGGGCAGGACCGCATGTAATTGCAGTGCACTGCTTTTGAGAAGGGGAACGGATAAAGCCCGGGGGGGATAGAGTCGATTTTCCCATGTTTGAAAGGAGAACCTATGTTGAGCAGTCTGCACTGTGGACGAGATGTGGTGCAATCTATGTGGCGCAGTTGATTTTAGCAAACGAGCTGACGCATCCCATGCCCTTGCAAATGCCCTGCCCACCCACCCGCAACGTAGCTCGCAAAACCCATGCGGTGGCGATTGCGTCGCATGCTTGGCATTGGCTGGTGCATCTCTGTGTATGCGCTAACCCAAGCACGCGCGCGCACCGGCCGGCTAGTTTGGCGCGACCGACGCGGCCGCGGTGGCGCTGACCATTGGGCACGCCCCAGAGGGCATTTCACTGCGAGTCGGCGACTTGGTCGAGCGCGGTATCATGGCAACGTCGACAATTGTAGACGCGATGGTGATCATAGCGATGTTGGTGGCAATGTTGACAACGACGAAGGCGCGGCCTGAGTGGGCGCCGATGCTGATCGCGCCGACGACGATGACGGCGTCCTCGTGTCGGTGATGAACTTTCCGGAAAGAGTTCGACATGCGCGCGGCCGACGCGCGAGAGTGGCCCGCATGCAATGTATTTGATACGGGTCGTGCGCCCCAGCACGCGCGCAAGGGCGCGCGAATGATGCCGGCATGCGGCGCGAGAGTCCCGTTTGGCAAAACCCCATGGACATGTTGAACACTTTATGGTTTTTTTTCCAGAATTCGCAAGAGCGCGAGCGTGCGTTTTTTTTTTTTTTTTTTTTTTTTTTTTGTTTTTTTTTTTTCCCCCCGGGGGGAAGCTGGTGTTGCGAAGCCATGTGCTTTTGTGAAACCATGTGTTGTTGTATGTTGTGTGGACACTCGGTTTTGAAACCGCTACGACACCGACACTTTTTACGGATTCCGGCATGCGCGCGCGACGACGTGCGCTTGCACTTCGCATTTGTTGTGCAACGGCTTCTCGCGACGGCACGCGCGCAAAGGGCGTTCGAACGATTTCGACATGCGTTCGCGCGAAGCCCGTTTGGTAGTATTTTTCTGAACATGTTGAATAACCGTTGGCTTACATAAAACTTTGCAAAAGAGCGCGCACATTTTCCATTCTCCCCAAAACAAGCAAATCCGTTTTGCGACATTCGATTTCAAGATCTCTACGAAACCAGAAAGGTTGTTGAAGGATTGCGGCATGCGCGCGTGACGAGGCGCGCGTGTACTCGCTATTTTGTTGCAGAGGATTTCTGAGCATTTGTGATTTTAATGAACGGGTATTCGCGCATTTTTTTTGCAGGGGATGGCGGGGGGGGCGATACCGGTTGGGCTGGGATGGTATGAGTTCATATTTCGGATGGACGATGGGGCATAACCGTATGCAAATTGCAATACGAAGAGGGGAACCGATCATCCCAGGGGGGCGGGTACTTTTTGTGGTATCAATCGAACAGAGAAAAGATAATCTAGATGCTGCCATCTACGTCGTGCAATAGATGTGGCGCAATCTACGTCGAACAATCCATGACTTTTTTTGTGGTGCAATGTCTGTGGTGCAACCGGTGTTGTGCAAGCTTGGGCGTCGACGAGGCAAAGACGGGGCGGCGACGGCGAGAACATCCCCACCCGACCACCACTGCCACCACCCAGGCCCAGACGACGGGCGGCGACGAGGCGGCGACGGGGCGGCGACGGCGAGCACGAAACCGCCAGACCGCCACCCAGGCCCTTATGACGGGCGACGACGGGGCGGCAACGGCAAGCATGGAGCCGCCAGACCGCCACCCAGGCCCAGACGCCCAGACGACGAGCGGCGACGAGGCGGCGACGGGGCGGCGACGGCGAGCACGGAGCCGCCAGACCGCCACCCATGCGCGGTTCCTTAGACCAGGGGCAGAAACGCCTCAGTACAAACATTGTTAGGGGAAATTGCAGCACACGTGTAGTAAGTCATCGTTGTAGACGCAGTGCTACATTGTTAGCAAAGGTCTACTGCCATCTGTCAGATTCACGCGGAAACTCAGGACATTTGGCATTTAGGGTTCTAGGCTCCTGAAGGGTTCTGAAATTTGAGTGCCTAAGGTACGCTCGAGGATATTATACTTCCGCACTTATTCGTAGTCGGTCTTGCTCAAGGTGGGTGCATTTCCTATATACACTTCCTACACTTCTGGCGCTTCGGCACGTTCTGCATACGCTTTCTTCACGCCCGGTATCCGTCCCCATGGCGAGCCGCGTGGCGCTGCCAGTGGTGCTGCCATCGATCTGCTCTGCCATTTCCTTCGTGCACACCGCGTCACTGCGCGACAGAGGCTACGTGCAGACGGATGCCAACTTCCTGGCCGCGATTGACGCCAACGCGGAGCAGGAGCTCAGGCCGGCCGTCGAGGTGGACTGCCAGGAGGCGGCGGAGGGTTCCGCGTGCCACTCCGCAGTGGCTTGGCTCCGCAAGGAAGGTCTTCGAAGAAGAAACAATCGCAGACCTAGAGGTTGACACCAACACCAAGCTCGGCGGTGTGCCCCCACCGAGGGAAAACGCTCCCGACCTCGGCGATGGTGGTAATATTCTGGCTTCCAGGGTGACCAGAATATGACCACCAACGCCAAAATCTAGGATAATCTTCCCCATGTGGAGGCAAGCCCCTGTGCTGGTGTTGGTGCCAATTTCCAGGCCTCCAACAAAAAACACATAAACAGAAACTCTTGGCGCTCCGCGCGGATTTCTTGGATCGGCGTTGGGACTCCTGGCGGCGTCTCCGGTGCCGCCTCAGGCGCGCTCCGCGCGCCGGGGACAGGGTTCCGGCGCGGATGCGAGAAACCCGCGTGGACCTCCAAAAGTTCATGTCTATGTGGTTTTGTTGCCCTCCAGGTCTGGCGACCCACCCCGAGTGGTACCCAGGCTACTCCAGCACGTCCACCTTCGAGGAGGTGCAAGACATGCTCCACGGCCTCGGCAAGGCGCAGTGCCCGAGGCCCTGCTTCGCGAAGGTGCCAGCCGCCCTGATACAGACCTCGGCCAGATTCGACTGCCACGACGCGGTCGAGGGTGACTGGTGCTACCATTCAATCACCTGGCTCAGGGAAAAGGGCCTTCAACGTCACCCTGACTGGTACCCTACCCTCCAGACCAACTCCAACAACTCTTGGATCCAGGCGGAGCTGCACCGCAAGGGCAAGTCCGACTGCCCGTGGCCCTGTGGACTCACCAGGGAGGATGCCGCTGAGGAGGACCAGACGATCCCCACGGAGTCTATCGAGTCTATCCTGGAGCCCGAGCACAGCGCAGATCAGACCACGCAGGGCGAGCAGCCCGAGGAGGACTGCAGGACCGCGCAGCCAGAGACGAGGTGCTACACCGCGGTGACCTTTGCCCTCGCCGGCGGGATCAAGGCGCACCCCGACGTCTTCAAGGGCCTGGCGGAGGACGCCGACTTCAAGAGGGTGCAGGAGTACTTCTACCTCCAGAGCAGGCACGGCTGCGAGCGGCCGTGCTCGGAGAAGCGCATCGACCCGTCAAAGTTCTTCCAGGCGGCCTCCCACGCCGACACCCTGCGCGAGAAGAAGAGGCTCGAGGACATGAGCACGGAGGAGCTGTCCATGTATCAAGGGGAGACGTACAACGCCTATGACCTATCTGCCGTGGGAAATCTTGCCGACGTTGGTCTTCGTCGTGGTCACGCTGGCCGTCGCCGATTCGTGGGGATGATCCACGAATCCACGACGAACAACATGGGCGGTGACCAAGATCGACACCGACGTTTCTGGGTTCAGTCTTTGGTCATGGTCCTCCTTCTCGTTTGCTCCAGTGGACGCCGTGGTCGTCGCCAGACGTCCGCCGATACGATTCTTTCAAGGCGCGGGCCCGGAGATCCCGAGCCCTTTCCTGGGGGCAGTTTTTCGCCCAGGATCCATCTTTGACGTTTCTGGAGGTCGGAAGAGGGGTGTGGCATACATGGGCATGGTGCCACTCGTGGACATGGTGGTGCTATCTGCGATGCGTAACATCGCCGGAGTCCCCTTTTGCATGGAGTTCGCACCACACCCCTTTTATACCCCTACCCCTTTCCTGCCTCCAGGATGCTTCCGGGGCTCGAATCGGGGGCGGAAACGAGGGGGGTGATGACTAGGGGGGGGTGGATATCATGGCGGGGGTGATGATAGTTCCCCAGAATTTATGGCGCCTCTTCTTATTTCATTACGTCCCTGGCCCCCATGCTGGGCCGCGCACATGCCGCCGGTCATGATTTGCACCCCCCCCTCTTGGACACCCCCCTCTTGGCCGCTCCCGATCGAAGGAGAGAGCTCCCGAGGGCCGAAGGTCGAGGAGCGACGCCGCCCGAGGTACCTCGACGGCAAGTGGGACGGCTACGTCAAGAAGGAGTACAAGGTCTCCTTCAGCGGCGAGGCCACCTCGAGCAGTGCACTGCGTCTCGTCGTGGCCCTGGGCTGATGGGCCTGTGTTCCATCACCACCACCACGAGTTAGAGGGGGGAAAGAGGAGGAGGGCACGGAGGGAGGAGGAGGAGGAGGAGGAGGAGGAGGAGGAGGAGGAGGAGGAGGAGGAGGAGGAGGAGGAGGAGGAGAGGGAGGAGGAGGAGGAGGAGGAGGAGCCCCTCCCCCTCCAACTTATGGTGGTGGTGGTGGACAGCAGGCCCATCATGGGCGGTGCGTTCCTCTCTCTTTCCCCTGCGGCGCTGCGCCCGTCCTCGGGGACCCCGCCCGGTCGCTGGTCGTCCTCGGCCCGCCTCGTCCTTCTCGGGCCCCCTCGTCGCCCCGGGGCCTCGTCGCTCGATGGATCCCGAGCGAAGCGCGGAAGCGAAAGCGAGAAGAGGCCACCTCGACGTTCCAGAAGCGCAGCAGCCTCGATGAGCAGCAGTTCCCGACGACCACCCCCTTTGGCGCCGAGGAGAAGGAGGCCCTGCCGCTGATCAACCCAGAGGCGGACGCCAGAGCAGAAACAGTGCACAGACACCTGCAGACGGATGGATTTTGGGCCAGTAGGTCAGGGTTGCTGGCAAGGCTTCGGGCTGCGCACAGACAGCCCCCCCTGTCCGGCCCTGTGTTTGTATCGTTGCAACAACCGGGCGTTTCTGAGAGTTTTCACCTGACATCCCTTATCCTTCAGATCCATGCGAAATTGGAGTGCAAACCGATTTCGACACTGCAGGTTTGCACCTTGATTTTGATTGTAAGCCTTTCTCTCGCACTGGCTCAAAGTGTGGGGGGGCTGCCGAGGCGGCGCCGTGGGAGCGTGGAATTTCCAGAGGGAAACAGCCAAACACACGAAGCCCTTTAGAGCGGTTTCTTTTCCTGGCAAACCTCCGCCGCCCCCGCGACGCTGCTTCCGGCGACGCCCACTCCGACGGTACGGGCCGAACACGCGCCTCTCCTCGGCCAGTCTCCGGAAGTGCTCCTCCTCGTCGTTCCCGCGATCGTCGAGGAGGAGGAGGAGGAGGAGGAGGCCGATGAGGAGCAGGAGGAGGAGGACGAGGCGGAGAAGGGAGGAGGAGGAGGCGGAGGAGGAGGAGGGGGAGGAGGAGGAGGAGGAGGAGGAGGAGGAGGAGGAGGAGGTGGGAGGAGGCCCTCCCCCTGTCCCTCCCCTCTGCACCGCTGCCGTCCGATCGGGGCGCGCAGTGCGGGCGCTGCCAGCTGGGGCCTTCTCGGCGGAGCTCCCCGTCGGGCCATGGTGCGCGCGTGAGGGGGGGGTCTGCCGCAGCGGGGGAGGCCCGAGACATCCCGGCGAGCGCCCGAGGCACCCGGGCCCGTGTGCTCTCCGGAACCAAAAGTCAGGCCCCCCCGGAGACTGGGACACAGAGAAACTTTGGGCACGGGAAACCAGGGGAACGACGCCAATTTCCTGCAGAGCCACACTTTCCAGCACCCGTGGCCCGTTGGGTGCAGGGTCCGGGCTTGTGTCCGCGGGTTTGGGGGGTCTTGCAGGCTTGCAGGGCAAGTGTGCGGGTCCATTCTGGAAGTGCTCCAGTGCAATATTTTGTGCGTGCCGCCGTCTGGCGTGTCCGGGCTTACGGGGCCCGGACCAAGCTGCAGCTCGAGATGTCTTCGAGATCCCAGCTCCCGGGTGCCGGAGGCCAGCTTCTCCACCTCCTCGCGATTCGCCCTCCGACGGGGCTCCCCCGAGGCAGCCTCCAGGTGTGCCCAGCTGGCGACGGTCCGGCTCGAGGCTTCGAGATCCAAGCTCACAGGTGTCACCCAGCCTGTGCTGTTTACAGTGCAGGCCGGTGCTGCCGGTTGCTGCCACAGGAGGTGGGGGCCCCGCACGGAGGGGGCTCCCGCTCGAGCATTCCTTTCGAGTCCCTCTCTCACAGACGAGGCTCCCGAGGCATCCTCTCAATCTCCTCCGGAATGATGGAGCTCCCGCTTTCGAGTTCTTCGAAATTCAAGCGCCCGCGTGCCACCAAACCTGTGTTTCGCAGGGTACGCAGGTGGTCGCCTCGGATAAACAGAACAGGAGGCGGGGGGCCCATACGCTCACAGACGAGGCTTCTGCTTGAGACATGCTCTGACTTTGCTCTGGCTCCCGCTCGTGACATCTTCGAGATTCAGGCTCGCGCTTGTCACCAAACGTTGGTTTTTACGGGTTACGCCGATGGCCGCTTCCCACCAGCAAACGAATGAGGCGGGATACCCATAGAGAGGGGGCTCCAGTTCGAGCCTCCCTCGCGATGCACTCACAGACGAGCCTTCCGCTCGAGACCTCCTCAAAATGATTGTGTGTGCGTGCATGTGTCAGGGTGTATGTGTATGTGTGTGGGTGTGGGAGTGTGTGAGTTACTGCGTGAGTGAGTGTTTGCGTGTGCGTGCGTGGGTGTGTGATGTGAATGTGTAAGATGTTTGGCCTGACCTGGGCACGGCGCCTCGGCGCTATGGGCGCGGCTTCCTGCTGCGTCACGCTCGGTCAGCGCGAGTCGGATAAAACAAACAATGTGTAATATGCAGATAACGAAGGTGATCGTGAAGCAGATGATATTGATAACTATGATGTCGATGGGGATGGTGGTGGTGATGGTGGTGACGATGGTGTAAGATGACGATGAGTCGATGAAGATGATGATGATTTTGATGATGATGATGTGATTACGGTGATGCTGATGATGACGATGACGATGGTGATGACGCTGATGATGCTGATGGTCACGGTGATGAAGATGATGACCTCGAGGATGAAGCTGCAGATGTTGATTCTGATGATGCTGATGCTGATGCTGGTGCTGCTGATGCTGCTGCTGATGATGATGCTGTTGATGAGGATGTAGACGAGCGGAACGGGATGAACAGGGAGATGTTCCTGCGCGAGGTAGATCACAAGCACCCCACTTCGGGAGCACACGAAACCCCCTCAGGATGTAGGATGGCAATGTCCAGAACATCATGGCGTGATTCTGAATGGTGAGGATGGCGTTGTGAGTGTGTGACAGGGTGTCTGAGGTGTTAGGATGTGGAATGGTCGTGGCCAGACGATCGTGGCGTGATGTTGAGTGGTGATGACGATGTTGTGTGTGAAGGGGGAATGGGAGGTGGGGTGAGGATTGCGCGGGTTGTCCAGAGAAAACGGGGGCCACACGTAGGATGTGGGGATACACGTCCATGTCAAAGTGGAATACGCGTTGATTGTGATGGGGATGGTTTACACATGGTTCTTGATTGCGATGGAATTTCGCAGTTGTGTTTATTTGCTTGCGATATGCAGAGGCGGCGCCTTGGGAGCTGGGACGCCTCAGAGGAGCACATGATAAGCACACGGTGCACAGAAACTCGGTGCTTTCACACGGGCGTGTAACACGCAGCTAGGACATGTTGTGGCAGTCGTGATTTCCAGTGGCGCAAACCAGCTGACAGGTGTTCATATGTTGTTGTTTTTCCCACCATGCTCTTCTGTGTTCAACCGCATGTTTTTCGTGATTTGTTGTTTTCCTGGTAAACTTCCGCCGCCCCCCCCCCCACGGCGCTGCCGTCGAAAATCCGTTACGACAGGAATGTATGATATTGTTGTAGGCGCATGGATTCCGATTGTGAGAAGTTGCGCTGGTATTTTTTGTGGGGCATTCCCATCGTGTTTCGAAGTGTGGGGGTCTGCAGAGGCGGCGCCGTGGGAGAGTGGAAGCTTCAGAGGGAATCAACATTAACTACTGGAAACGCTGTGCGTCTCACATGGGACAAACAGGTCAAGTTGGGGTCATTTATGATTGTAGCTGTTCTTAGGTAGCGCGACTAATATCCAGCTTGGGCCACGTGCTTTCATAGTTTTGTCATCGTGCTCTCTGTCAAAAGCGTTCTCGTGTCCTGTAGTCGTTCCATGGGTTCCCTGGTAAGCTTCCGACGCCCCCGCGGCGCTGCCATTGGAAATCTTCCGCATTCAGAGAATTAACGTGTACATCTACTTCAGTTTTAACGCTGTGTGCATCTGTCAAGGACGGTCCACTGTATACAACTTCCGACTGTACTCGCACAATTGCATGGAGGGTCCTCCCCCCAGGTAGTCCCAGCTGGCCTCAGCAGGCCTCCCGAATACGGTGTGAAGACCGCTCTGGACTACTCGGGGGGCCTGTTGAGGCCAGCTGGGGCTGCCTGGGGGGGCTGTCTGTGCGCAGCCTGCCCAAGGGCTGCTGTGTACACATCACTACCAAGAGCCAGTGATCTTATACACAGCTGTGACAAAAGTTTCTTCAATTAGCTATGATGAAGATCTCTCTCATCCCTCTCAAGATTCCTAACATGACATGATGCTGGGTCATTCGGCGGAGTAGTTTCCGATCCCGGGGACGTTAATAACTCTGTTACCCCAAAACGGGATCGAAAACGACTCCGCGCCAAACCATATAAATTACCGAGCGGGATGCGATTGTGTGCAGATCAGTTGGTGGTTTTCAGGCGGCCGCCATGACGTCGGCGGAGGCCGACAGCTACATGGAGGAGGCCCTCGCCCGCAGGCTCCTCGAGGAGAAGACGCGGGAGGAGAAGCGCAAGCGCGAGGAGGAGGAGGCGGCCGCCGCGGCGGCCGCGGCTGCGGCGTGGGCGGCCGCCCGGGAGAAGAAGAGCGTCGAGGACATGAGCAGCGAGGAGCTCTGTACGATCGAAAGGGGCACGTCGGTGGAGGAAGATGTACCCTATACAGTGGAGGGCCGTGCCAAGAAGCACCCTGCTTGCCTCCAGGGTGCCCTGGGTTTCTTGGGCTTCGATGGTTTTGCCGTGGAAAGCGTGACGTTCCCACACCAAAAATCGATGGACGCCCTGGGGTCTCAGGGTTGAGTTTCTTGCGGAAGGTTTCTTGTGGTCGGGCCCCTACGGTCAACCCGCATAGCACGGATGGGCAACCTTCCAAATGGTACCCATGCATCCTTGCCTCCTCGGTCCATCCTTGGCAACTTTCGTTGACCGCGCCCCGCTCGGAAGACTTCGAAATGAGCTTCCAAGGCCCCTGCGCCCGTGTCGCGCATCCTTACTTTTCTGGTCGACTGTACGGTACGCCAGTGGAGGCAAGTGTGCCTGTGCTTCTGCCCTGCCCTCGCGCTCCTCCCTTCGGGCCTCCTGGGGCTTGGCATCGCTCGGACGTGTGCATTTTTCCTTCGGCGAGGACCATCGAGGAGCATCCTTGATCATTTGGCTAAAAAAAAAACACGCACGAAACCGAAAAAAACACAGGGAATGGACGTGCGAGCGAGGCCCAGGGGGCGGCCCTCGTCGCCACCGCCGGAGATCCGCCCCGAGGCCTGTCCGTGCCGCCCTGCCTCGGTGCTTTCTCTGCCTCCCCCCGGCGACGGCCGGCGGCGGCTCCTGCCCGCCGGGGGCGTCCCGCGGGCGTGGCCCATCCGAGACAGCACGCTGCCTGCCCAGACTCACCAGCCTCGAACTCATCCCTATCCCTACGATTGACACGCCAAGAGGAGATGACAATCTTAGGGATTCGCCCTCAACAAAAGTAAGGGAATCCCCAAGATTGGCATCGTGATGCGGAGGTGCCCAGCATAGGGATAGGGATATGTTCCAGGCTGGTAACATCCGAGACAGCATGCGGCCTGCCCAGACCGCGGCCGCCGCCGATGTTGGCCGCCGCTCCCAGAGCCCCTGGAGGAATGGCAGAAGTCACGACGGCAGGTTTTTCGCCATGCTCGGCCTCGGGGGGCCCTCACTGGGCCTCGGGGCCGTCAAAGGACGACTCGGGATGAGAAACCGGTCCCCGGGGAGCGGGTCGAGACCAGGGCTGGATCTAGACGGTGTTCTTGGCGATTTCGTGGGCCGTTTTCGTTTCGACCTAGTTTTGCGGTAAGGGCGGATTCGAGACAAAAGCGAGGGAAAACGAAAACAAAACGAACACGAAAAACACCGTTCAGGTTCAGCCCTGGTCGAGATCCCTGAGGGTGATCATGACGTCGGGAGTCTGGGTTCGGCGTTGGGCATCGTGCCCCGTTTTTACTCGTACCCCTCCTCTGCGACCAATTCTGACCCCTGCCCCTGCGGGTCCCGTCGACGCCGGGGCATCGGACACGCCCGCTGGGGTTCACTCTTGGCTGCAGGCATCCTGCGACTCTGAACCCCAGCTGGCATTTCAAACATCAGGGGAAAGAGCCATGACATGAGCACAAAAACTCACTGGTCCGCGCGGATTTCTCGGATCCGCGCTTGACCCCCCTCCCTGGCGCGCGGAGCGCGCCAGGGGCGGCGCCGGAGGCGCCGCCAGGGGGGTCCAGCTTTTGTGTCACTCTTCGTTCCCCTAAGAAAACTGACTTGCGAGGGTAGGGTTCGCATGTGGATGCCCACACTTGTCTGGAGTCCAGAGGAGATGGAAGGGTACCTCAACGGTACCGGAAGCGTGCAGCCAGCGCTCCCGGCGCTGGGGGTCGTCTCCGCGGAGAGGGCCACCGCTAGCGGCGGCGAGGGCGTGGAGGCGCAGTCCCTGCAGGAGGCGGCCAACGTCGCCGCGGCCGAGGAGGCGGCCAACGCCTCCGCGGCCGAGGAGGCGGCCAACGCCTCCGCGTCCGAGGAGGCGGCCAACGCCTCCGCGTCCGAGGAGGCGGCCAACGGCACGGAGGAGCTCGAGGCACTCCCGGCGCTCGCGCTGGAGAGCGCCTCCACCGTCGAGGTGGGCGGCGTGAGAAAGCGGCGGCGGCCGCGCGGGCATTCGCGCACAGGCAACGGGTCAGCGTTCGTATCCGTGTTTTGCATTTCTGGTGTTGTTTTTGATCGCAGTGTTTCGGGCGTGTGTTTTCTGGTTTTGCGGCCCTTGCCCGTTTGCCCCTGGTGCTCGGAAAGGGCAGCACCAGTCCGAGCCTGCCACCCTTCCCCTTGCTCGACGTCCTCGTCTCTGGGCGGCCCCCCAGCTCTCTCCCCCAAATCGTGGAGGAGAAAAGAGCCCCTAAGCCCAATAACACTATGAGGGCGTACATAGCCTCACCGAGGTCCCCGTCTTCGCATCAGGGATAATATTCTGGGCGGTTTGGTTCGATCAACCTGCAGATAAGACCCCTCAACCCCACTGTTCGCGGCCCTCCTAACTGAGGCCCCCTCCCAAAGGGTTAAGGGGTCTTTTAGTTGGTCAATCACAAAAGATTATGTTTTTTTAGACTCTGGCAAGTTTACTTGCATGGACGGGTGGAAGGGCTGAGCCTGAAGCAGGCCGCAAACGACTTGACGTGCGGAAGTCACGCAAGTCTAAAGGCACTTGCACGCTCGAATTCGATTGAAGAGGGGCGAGGGTGATGTGGAGCAAGCCCCATGCAAGGAAACTTGCTTGAGTCTAAAGGAAAAACATGTTCTTTTCTGGTCCATCACCAAATGCCCCCTCCCTCCCGGCCCCCCCTCCCTGGGGCCTGGGGGGCGTGGGCGCCCCCTCGATAGAGAAGGGCGTCCGAGCAAACCGCCGCTGGCCCCCCCCGTTAAGGGCCCGCTGAGGGCCCCCATGAAGGGCCCGCTGGTAAGGGCCCGCTGAGGGCCCAAGAAGGAAATTCGCCGAGTTTGAGCTGAAGTTTTTTTACTCGACTGCATAACGCCTGTTATGTGCCCTCCGACCCACCCACCCACCCAGTAGATACGATAACGCCCTCCGCTTCACCCGCCCCCGTTGCAGCAGCGCCTGTTGCTCAGCGCACAGGTATGCTGTTCGTAGTGTGCGCGCGACGTGTTATGTTATGTGCCAGCGAACCCACCCACTCACCCAGCCACATAACGCGCGATATGTGGAACCAAAACATTGTTTTTTTGAAACCAGAAGTCCCTTGACGGAGACTGCCCAGGACCCCCAGGACCCCTTAACTCGAAGAGGAACACGGCACAAACACAAAGTCTTGGCGCTTCGCGTGGATTTCTCGGATCCGCGTTGGGCTCCCCCGGCGGCGCCTCCAGCGCCGCCCCTGGCGCGCTCCGTTCGCCAGGGAGGGTGGGTTCCAGCGCAGATCCGGGACGTCCCTGCGGAGCGCCAAAAGTTTATGTTTATGCAGTTTTTCCCGTGTTCTATTCAAGGAAGCCTCGCCACCTTTTAGAAAGCTTGCCCCGTCTCGCTTCCCCCCGTGCGCGCCGCCAAACGATGTGTAGTCTCTGTGCCCTCGCGCGTGAGACCTTTTCTCTTTGTCGCCCAGGTGTCGGAGGAGGCTGGTGTTGGGGACGATCCCATGCCGTTGGTCGACGCCGAGGGCTCTCTTGTGACTGGCGCCGAGGAGTCGGAAGCTGAGGCGGATCGCAGGATCCAGGAGGAGACAGAACACGCAGACACAAAGAGTCGTCGGTCCCAGCGAAAGCATGAAGGGAAAGCATGGGACGCGTGGGGGGGAGAGACGGGGGCTGAGAAGAGACGCGAGGATGTGCGGAGTCCTGGGAGCTGTGTCCCTGTGTAGCTGTGTGTGCCTGGGAGCCCCTGCGAGGATGGAGCTGGAGCAGCAGCCCGAGGCGGAGCCCCGCGCGGCGGCCGGCGAGGAGGAGCGCGAGGCGGAGGCGGAGCAGCAGCCTCGCGCGGAGACGCCCGAGGAGATGGAGCGCAGGAGCCGCCCCTCGGGGGGGAACGAGGAGGGGGAGGAGGAGGAGGGGGAGGAGGGAGGAGGAGGAGGAGGAGGAGGAGGAGGAGGAGGAGGAGGAGGGAGGAGGAGGAGGAGGAGGAGGGAGGAGGAGAGGAGGAGGAGAGGAGGGAGGAGGGGAGGAGGAGGAGGAGGAGGAGGCGGAGGAGGAGGAGGAGAGGAGGATGGGAGGCTGCGGAGGAGGAGATGGAGGAGGAGGGGAGAAGGAGGAGGGGGAGGAGGAGGAGGAGAAGGATGAGGAAGAGGAGGAGGAGGAGGAGGAGGAGACGAGAACGAGGAGGAGGAGGAGGAGGAGGAGGAGGAGGAGGAGGCTGAGGAGGAGGAGATGGAGAGCAGGATCCTCCCCTCAAGCAGCGGCGAAGCGTCCTCGCTCGCCTATAATCGAAAAAGAGAAAACGCCATAAGCATAAACTTTTGGCGCTCCGCGCGGATTTCTTGGATCCGTGCGGAGCCCCCCCTGGCGGCGCCTCCGGCGCCGCCCCTTGCGCGCTCCGTTCGCCAGGGGGGGGGTCCAGCGCAGATCCGAGAAATCCGCGCGGAGCGCCAGAAGTTTATGTTTATAGCGTTTTCTTCCTCCGCTATAGGCCCACCAAACAGTGTTCTTAGAACCTTGTGTGGCTTGCGCGAAATGTATTTCTAGGACACTTCTGGTTGACACCGCTCTGTTTTAACACATCGGCTATATGTTTTACGAACCTTCTTCTAAGCACATGTCGTGATAGGCCTATGTGAGTGCAGGGACGGCCTGTCCCTGCTCAACCCCTCCCCCCGATCGCCAGGGGAGACACGGGTCCTGAGTTGAAACGGGTCTTGAGTTTTTTGTTTTCGCCTCTTTCGGGCTCCAGGGGCCCTCCACGTGCCGCGGGTCTGTCAGGAGACGGCCCAGGATGAAGAGCTCGTCCTGGGGGAAGTCCCCAGGGTCCAGGACCTTCCCTCAGGACCTGCTCCTCCTCAATCGGAAACCCATACCGCTACCCTTCCCTCGTAAATGACTGTCCAATCATAAACTTTTAGCTGTCCGCGCGGATTTCTTGGAACTGCGCTGGGACGCCCCTGACGGCGCCTCCGGCGCCGCCCCTGGCGCTGGGGGGGGAGGGTGCGGCGCAGATCCAAGAAATCCGCGCGGACCGCCAAAAAGCGTATGTTTAGTATTCTCCTGGCATCGCTCGGACGTGTGCATTTTTCCTTCGGCGAGGACCATCGAGGGGCATCCTTGATCATTTGTCGAAAAACCCACGCACGAAACCGAAAAAAGCACAGGGAATGGACGTCCGAGCGATGGCCAGTTCTAGGCCTCCCAGATGGGGTCGGAGTAGATGGTGTCGGCGGATCGCGGCGCATCGCCGATGCATCGCCCAAGTTTCTCCACGCCGACGTCGCCGATGCGTCGCCGACGTCGCCGATGCATCGCCGGTGCATCGCCGATGCATCGCCGATGCATCGCCAATGTATCGCCGATGCATCGGCGATCTGGCGCGATCTTCCGACCCCATGTACTCAGACCCCGTCTATAGGAGGCCTCTAAGTATGCAGTTTACTCATCCTCTATCCTCCGTCGAGTTCGCTGCGAAACTCCTCGTATCTTGGGGCGCGTAGGTGCCCAGTGCCCTCGGGGGAGGTGCATGTACAGGGTGGGGAGGGGCCACTTCGCATTCGGGGCTTCGGCTCCCAGTGCGGTCTGGTTGCGGCTCGCGTTGGGCGCTTCCCCAATTGGATCCCCGCTCCGCCACACACACACATATATATATATATATATATATATATATACACACAAGACTGCAGTGGCGCTTCGCGCCATGCACTTTGGTCCTTGGAATTTGGTATGCAGGCGGAAATGGCAGGAAGGTCAAGCCGCTAATTTAGCGATAATTCCTTGCTGCCTTTTCTGGCATCGCCGTTTCAATAATGTTGTTCGTCGTCCTTCCTCCATACTTCTTTTCTTCATTCTCGCCATACCCTGGGCATTCTCCCCATCCTCCTCAGCTCTTTTTGCGGAGGCTCCTCCTTGGAGAGCCTCTGGGGGCCTCACCATAGTTCTCAGGCTTTCTTAAAGCCTTCTGAAGGCCTCCTGGGTATGTTCTGGGGGCCTCTGGGGCTTCCTGAGGCCAACCTGCCTCTAACCGCGGTTTCCCTGAACGCCCCAGTCGCGATTTGGAATGCTTCGGAGGGTGTCTTGGGGCCATCTTGGGCCGCCATGGTGCTCTCTTAGGGCCATTTTGGACCCCTGTTGTGCTGTTGGGGCTCTCTTGGACTGCTTGGAAGCCCTTTCGGATGTTTGTGGGGCGATTTTGGAGCCTCCCAGGCGGCTGCGGACGCCTAGGAGACCGCCGTATTGGAGCGTCGGGAAGCCGAAAAGAGGAAAACCCCAAATGCACCAACAACCTACATAGAATCAAGGATTTGTCCCTCTTGGGGCCGTCTTGGGAGTGCTCTTGGAGGCCATTTGATACGTTCTGGAGCGATCTTTCGGGGTATGCTGGCTTCTTGGGGCGCTCTTGTGCTGTCTTGGGGGTCTCTGGGACGTCTCCGGTGACCCCCCTGATCGCCCTGGGTGTGCTGCGAAGGCTTGGCAAAACGCCCTGCGAGGCCCAGGGGGCCGCTTCGAGGCCCGTCCGGAGGGTCCCAAAGCTGCAGATCCCGGGGGTCCGGTTTTAGGGGGGGGGGGACGGGTTTTCCCCCCGCCCGGGCTTATAAAATATAGGAAGAGGAATATGTGTATATATAAGTATATGTACATACACTCATATATACTTATATTAATATATATATATATATATAATATATATATAATATATTACATATATATACATACATACATACATACATACATACATACATACATACATACATACATACATACATATATATATATATATATATATACACACTCACAGACACCCTGCAAAGGATCGTTCTTGGGCCTCAGGGTGTGTAAATTACCACTGGTGGCCAGCGACGCCATACACCGCCGCAATCCCTGAAGGCACGTGCAGAATTCGTCGGAGGGCGTCTGAGTGTATATATATTTCCGTGGCGTATCCGCACTGACAAAGACAAGTCTCAAGCTGTCCTCCCTTTCTTCGTCGCTCGCCTCCCTCCCTCTCTGGTGTCGATCTCGATCCGACAGATCTGGTTCGGTATGTATTCTGGTCGGCTCGGTCCGGTTCGATTCCGAGGGTCCGCAGAGGAGGGAAAGGTACCCATCTTACTACCCTTCGGCAGTTCTCCCCCTTTCCGGCCTCCTGGGAGGTCCTTGTCGCCACCGCTGGATTCGCCTCGAAATCCTGTTCAGAACGCGTTCCGGGAGAGGTCCGGGGAGTAGCGGTATCGGTACCTCCTGGTTTCCCCAGATTTTGGTCGGCTTGAGCCGGATCGATTCCGACATGCCGACGATCTGGTTTTGGTGCGGTCCTGTGTTTGGACGGCGCTGGTGTGCATCTCGGAGTAGCCTGCCCCTCCCTCCCTTTCTCACTCGTTTGCCCGCTCTTCGAAGGAGAAAACGACTTGTATAGATATGCGAATGTCGGAGGTCCGCGCAGGATTCTCTCGGATCGGCGCCGGGAGCCCCCTGGCGGTGTCTCCGGCACTGCCCCTGGCGCGCTCGGGTTCAGCGCCAATCCAAGAAATCCGTGTGAACATTCGACAGGTGATACGTGTGTGTTGACCAAGCCCCTGCAAACGGGGCGTTAGCAAACGGGCTGGCAGCTGAGGGTGCAATTGAACTGTCGCGCACAAGTGCGAGGTAAACCCCATCCACCCAGAGGTATGATGATGTGTCGACATTTTTGCCGTCCCGATTTGCCACGCACTAGTGCGAGGTAAATGCCCTGTCGCCCCATTCTCGCTTGAAGAGGCCCCCTAGCTACCGCCCCGTTTACTAACGCCCCGTTTGTAGGGGCCTGGGTTGATCTTTCTGCTTCTACCCCCCCTCCGTCCTTCTGCGCCTCCTCTTCCCTCCCTCGTGCTCCGCAGGATCCGGGCAGATCTCATGGAGAAGAACGAGAAGGCGCTCAAGGTGAGCGAGGAGTGCGGGTCCCACGAAGATGCACCACCACCACCTGCATTCCTCTTCCCTCTTCTTCCCTTCTCTTCCTCTCCTCTTTCGTGGGAGAGGGAGGGGGCGAGGGAGGCGGTGGTGGTGTATATTTCTTTAGCCCCGTGAGGAGGAAATGTGGGCGAGGATCAGGGCGGAGGTCATGGCCGATCTGGCGAATGACAAGGGGCAGTGAGAGGTGCCCCGCGAGCCTCGCCTAAAAGGGGCAGCGGCGGGAACCGCACAGATAGTGGAGTGGCGTGCGCATGCTTTCCCCACTCATTGTCCGCATGGTTACCGAATATCTATTCCGAGGACTTTGCTCGGGTTCTGCAGTCGCCGCCCGTCGCCGCCCTGTGCGCTCAGTGCTTGCACCACACGGCCTGCACCAGGCAGCTTACACCGCACAGTTTGCGCAGCAGAGCTTATGCTAGGCACAGCTTGCACCACATTAGGTTCTCTTTTGGAAAACAGAGTGTTAGAGTCTACCCCCAGGCCGAAGCGGGACTTGACGACCCCCATCCGAATACTTGTCGAAACGCAATCAGACCGGAGGTTGGAGGGTGATGTCGAAGTGAAGCGGAGCCCTCCCCCCAGCGTAGTTGCCGCATTTGCTGAAATCACAGAGTCGCATGACTTTAGCAATCTCGTCCAGAACCCGCATTCTAATCTCACCACGTGGTTCGTCCGCACTGATCCAGCATGCGCCCAGTGCAAATGTTCGCATCAAATATTACCATGCGTGCCACGCGCACGCGACGCCACGCGCGCGTGTCAAAAACCTTTCAAAACCATTGGTGTTCGAAGATTGTCAGCATACTTCAAGCCCTTGGAAAACACACATGAATCGACACATCATCTTCACCAAACAAGTCTGCCAGGTTTCTTGCATTTCCGCGCGCGCACTTTCTCACCATCACCCTTATCAGCGCCATCGCACCACCGCCGTTATTGTCATCGTCAATCGCCACCATTGCCGCTGCCATCAGCCAACCGTCTTTATCGCCGACGTATGGACATCATCATCAGCATCATCATCATCATCATCATCATCACCATTATCACCATCATCATCATCGTCATCGTCGTCACCAGCATCGGCGCCGGCATCGGCCTTGCCGTCGCCATCGTCATCCTCGCCACCATCATCGCTACTATCATCATCGTTGTTGCCGTTGCCGGCGTCATCATGAAACAACGCCCGCCCAGGTCACCGACCCCCGCGGAAGTGCCCGCGTGCCACCACTGTTTTTGAGACGGGCTGGGAAGTTCTCGCCGGTAAGCGCCATCGCGCCGCGTTGGTTGTGCAAAATCAGCTTGCGGCCCTGCGCGCGAGCTTGCGCGCGCTAGCGCAGCCGCAGACATGCGCCAGCCAGCGCCACGTGGTCTCCGCATTCGCGGCCGCAGTGCTAAACAAGCTGCGGGTGGGAGGGTTGGATGATTGAGCGAGGAGAAGGGTGGACGACTTCAAGTTCTGCAAGGCGGATGTTACAACATGGCATGCACCTCGCAGCTAGCACCTGCATGTCTTGCAGCTCAGAGAGGGCACCTCATAGCTTGAGCCGCACAACCGGCACCAGCTAACTTGCCCAGCAATCATTGCACCACATCGTCTGTTTCCACGCAGCTTGCACTTCATGGCTCGCACACCCAGTGTGCAACACGTCGCTGCTGGGGGCCCACCCTTGACATATCCTGTTGTTTTTTTCCGGCTCGTAAAAGTTGTCCCACCTTCAGGGGGTGCCCGTGATGTCGCCGCCCGGCGTCGCGGAACGGGGGAAGGTGGATCTGGCGTGCGCAAGAGAAACGGGCACCCAGATCATCCACATGAGGCTTGGCAGATGCGCGCCCGAGCTGATGTTCGGACCCTTCCACCTCCCTCGTGCTGTTGGGTGCCTCCGGGGGCACAGCCATACGGGCCGCGTCGACTGCCGAGGGCGGAGGGGGGGGAAGAGAGGAGGTGAGAACCGCAACCAGCGATTTTACAGAGCCGGGGAGGATGGGGAAAGGTGAAGAGCGCTCTGTCATTCCTGAACTTGGGAGCGCGCTGTCGTGCCGCACAGGTATAGCTCTCCCCCCTCTCCGCCCCGTTTGATCTGTCCAGGCTGGGCTACCTTTTGACGGAAGCGCGCCCAACATGAAAAGTCGTGCAGAGGCTGTTCTCGTTGATCTGTCCGCCGCCATTTCGAGAAATTGTGGGTGCCCCCCTTCTCCCTCTCCCCTCTCCCGTTTCCTCCCTCTACCCCCCCCCACTCCCCTCCATTCTCTCAACTCGTCTCCCACGCTCTTCCTCTCCCCTCTCTCCCCCTCCTCGCTCCCACTCCGATCCCTCCTTCCCTCGTCCTCCTCCAGGGGCAGGGGGGCCACGACGGCACAGACGGGCCCCAGCAGCAGGCCCCGCGGTCCTGGCACCTGGTGATCTGCCCTGCGCCGCCGCCGGTGCCAGCAGCATCCGCCGGCCTGTCTCCGATCGTCCCTGATAGCCTGGTGATGGCGCTCCGCCGGGAATGCGAGGGGGAGGGGGAAGCCGAGGGGGAGGAGAGGGAGGGAAGAGGGAGGAGGGCGCGGAGGAGGAGGAGGAGAACGGGGAGAGGGGGCCTCTCGGGGAGGCCCCTTGGGCCACTCCTGGGGACTCCTGGGGGGCCTCTCGGAGGTCTCTTTTTGGGGGCCTCCTTGGGCCCCCCTTTGTGGGCTCTCGGGGGCGCCCTGGGAGGCGTCGTGGGGGTCTCCCAGGGAGCCCTCCCGCGGCCGCCTTGGAGGCCTCATGGGGCCGTAGGGGAGCCATCTCGGAGGCCTTCCGCGCGCTCTTGGGGCCATCATATCTTGGTGGCCTTCGGCCGTCTTTCTGGACGACCGACATGGGCATGGAAAGAATGGGTACGATGCCCAACAGTAGTTCCTGTTCATTTTGAACAGGACTCGCTGTCCGCGCCGCCGCGGCCTGTGTCCATTCGAGACAGAAGGCCGCCTGCCCAACAGCGGCCGCTGTTGGTTTGGGACAGCATTTGTTGTTGGGCATTGTACCCATTCATTCCGTTCCCATTTCGGGCGTTCAAAGTCTTGGCCTTAGGCCGACGGGAAGCCGAGCGCGAGCACACGCCACATCCGCTCGAACGTCCACGGACGAGCAAAGTGATGCTGGCCGCTCGGGCCCTCCTGCAGGTCCTCTTTTTAGGCAATCTCGGGCCGTCTGAGAGCTCTCCGGGTGGCCGGCGGGCTGGACCGAGCCAATTGCGAACGGGCCAGCGGACAGGAGCTGGCGGGGAAGACGGACGAACCCTCACGGCCGCAGGCCGAACGATTGCCCTCACGAGCCCCGGATCGGACGAGAGAATTGAAGGGAGCCTTGGGGAATGCGAGGTCCAGCCATACTGCCCGAAGCATTCGAAAGCGGAGCCTTCTCCCGTTCTGAGAGGGGGCCACCACGTAATGCCGCAGTTGCCACGTCCCTGCTGTTGAAATGACACTTCGGCTTGAGCTGCGAATTGGACGGCACTGCTGCTCCCCCGCGCCCCCGACTTGAATATTGGGAGTTGTGGCATATCCCCGGGCCGTGTGAACAAAAAAGATGATTCCATTTCAGTGTGCGCGTCCGCTCTCAATGTTAAGGTCGGGGGCGCGGAAGGTCGTATCATCAGTTGTCGTGCCGCCCAGATGGTGCAAACTTGTTTCTTTCAACCGTATGGCGCTCCTGGCTTTAAATTGACGCACCTCTTACAATGTTCGTGCACCATAGGGAGCTGACGTTCCTTGTCACGGCGCGTATAGATCAGGAGAGTACCACCCCATTTTCCGTATGCTGTTGCATGGGATTGTGTCGTTCGTTTTTCCGATCGGCTGAATGTTGTGCATTGCGTTGCGTCCACCGGACAATGTATCATAATAGTGAGTATGGGTCATGAGAGAACACATGGCAAATCATTCGCCAGGAGTGCAATGCCAACCTGAAAACAAACAGTCTCCCGCGGAGCTGCAGAGTCCGATGCTTTCGTTTGCACGCGGGGCCATTGAGAACGTAAGTAAGTTGTCCTGGACTGGGAAGGAGGGGATCATGTCAGAGAGCTCACAGGACGGGTCAGATTACGCAGGTCTTCGAGATGGCATGGTTTCATTGATGTTCGTTTTGTATGAACAGCTGCGTTGTCAGCCTGGGCATGTTCTCGCACACCGTAGCTTTGCGTAGGCAGCTATAGCTATCATCCTCGAACATTTGCCACGCAGGTTCCTTGTCGATGTGATGTTCTGTTATTGGGTTACGCTGCGCGCAAGATTCTTGGTGACGCCCCCTCTCCAGTGTCCGCCATCATGAAACATCTGAGTCGCACCCGCCCAGACCGCCTTTGCTCTGCTTCGACGTTGGATGAGGCGACATAGGTTCGGTGAACTTAGACGACGTTGAAGTCGCGCGTCAGCCACTCCTGAGAAATTTGCCGTGGGTTGCAGGCTTGGCGCGGCTTGGCCCAGGTGAACTCGCATCTGAGTTTGGCTTCAGTTTTTTTGCCAGGGTTGTCTCTTCTTGGTCTGAGAGCCTGAGTTTTGGTGTTCGTGGCTGTATATGGCTGGGATTGACTTGACATCGCGTAGCATACCTTTGCCGAGTGATCGTTGGTTCATGCCAGCGCACCTTGGCTCTATCTCCTCGCCCTTAGACGCCATGTCAAGTGGGCTGCCTCTTGTAGACTACTGGGGCCGTTTGGGGAGGCCTCTCGGCCCCGCTTGGATTTTTGCTAGAAACACCTCTGGCCAAATAGCGGTGGAGAGCACCCCCCCGCACACACAGCATTCCAAAGCAACCGCTTCTGGTGGCCGTAGCCGTAGGGAGGGCTCTCATTAAAGTTCTCCTGGGCCATGTCGGAACCGTTCAGAGGTTTCAGAGGCTCATCGGAAACTGAATTTACGAGAACGCGAACGTCATGATGTTCTTGGATGTTTGTTCACCCAGTTGCATCCTTGAGAGTCTCAGGGGGCGTATCGGTGCCATCTTGCAGCATTTCGGGGCTATGCTGGAGGACGGTTTTGATCCAACTTGGTTCAATTGCGCCATATTGGATGCAATATCGAGTTAGTTGCAGCCTTCGTCTACCGATCTCAGGCGGTTTGGGACATTCCGTTGCCTGCGACTCCCCCAGTCCAGGCCCATGCAGAAAGAGCATGGGGGAAAGTAAACCCCTCCTCAAAAGAGGCCCGAGGATTGTTTTGGAAGATTTGGCTCGCTAACCACCTGAATGCGATAAAAGGGCTGTGCCCAATGGGTGTCCGGAGGATTTCCGTGGTTACGGTTATAGGTATGTGTTGCCCATGGACGCAATACGCTTTGCTGGACATAACGATGTACGGTCAACCTTGTCTGGTTGTTCCCCGTTCGACAGGGTTGCCTTGCACTGGTTTCGCCACGCCGGCGCATGCGCCAGATTCGGACACTCTTTGCGAGCAGACGGCTTTTCTGCGCCGCCTTGACGAGCAGTTATTTGCCGTTTGCGCTTTGCTCGTGCTTCATCAGCTTTGCAAGCCCATACTGCTACATGGTGATTTGCCGCGGTCGCGATGCAACTGACAGCGATTGCAGTAATGATGCGTTGCGCGCGTTGGAATTTGATCCCTCACACGGTGCGTTCAGTTTTCCAAGGTTGGTCTCTGTCAGTTTATAGTCACTTTGCAATGACAGCAGAGTGGACCTGGTGTTGAGCATTCGCCGATGCACGGTCAACGTTGTCTGCTTGTTCCCAGTCTGGCAGGGGTGCCTGTGGAAATTTGCGTTGGTGTCGGCACGCCAGCGCATGTTGCCGGATTTAGCTTACATTCAGGCACAGTTTGCGAGCCGACGGCTTCTCTGCACAGCCTTGAGCGAGCACTTGTTTGCCGTTTGAGCTTCGCTCGTGTTCCGTCGGCTTTGCAAGGCCTCGCTGTTGCATGGTGCTTTGCCGCGGTCGCGAACACCAGCGACGGCCAATGCAGTGGTGATACGTGTGGTCACTGAACGAAGATGTTTCGATCTTCCATCGTGTAACCGCTGCGCGGTCAATTCGCAATTGCCGTGCCTGGCTAGCGTGCTGCCATCCTTCATTTCCTTCCACTCCGACCCTGGGTTGTTTCATATGTCCCTGTCCCCGTAGCATCTTCATCCTCCTTCATCCTCATCCTCCTCGTTCGTGTCGTGCGTTTCTATCCTAACAGAATCGCCAATTGCGCCAGTTGGATATGGATCCTTCGCACGGTGTGTTCGAAGGTTGGGCGCCGTCAGCGTATAGCCGTTTCGCAATGACAACCGATTGGGCCTGGTGCTGAGCATTCGCCGGTGCACGGTCAGCGTTGTCTGCTTGTTCCCCGTCCGACAGGGTTGCTTGTGGAGACTTGCGTTGGTTTCGCCACGCCGGCGCATGCTGCCGGATTGTGCCCACATCCAAGCACAGTCTGCGAGCTGACGGTTTTTGTGCACCGCTTTGAGCGAGCAGTTGTTTGCTGAGTGCGTTGAAAATGTGTCCCCTTGGACATGTATCCCCGGGTTGTTGCATTTTTTCTGCAGCGGTCGCGAATACAACTGGCTGCGAATTCGGTTCGTGGCGCGTGCGGCCATTCAATGCGAGCGCTCCAATCTTCCATTGTGTAACGTCCGCGCTGCGAATGCGCAGCTGTCGTGGTTGGACGACGCATCGCCATCCACGGGGCAATCGTGCAACGCATGTTTCTAACATTTGGTCGTTGTCAGTTTCTAGAAGACCCATGGAACTCTTTTACAGAGTCCCGGGTGGCGGATGCATGGGGGTGCATTGACGTTAGCGAGCACGGAAGTAAACGCGCCCCAGTCATATTCAGCATTTGTTTTTTTGTCATATACCTATTGCTACCCATGTGTCATGGACCGCAGTCCACATTGGAGGTGCCATTGCAATATTGCGTGCGTAAATACAAGCACACACCTATACCCGTGTACGTATGTATGTATTTGTGTATCTAGATCGGTCTGTAAGTTTGTATGCATATAGGTGTATATGTATGTATGTATGTCGGTATTTGGGTGTGTATGTGTATGTGTTTATGTGTGTGTGTGCGTGTGTAGGTGTAGTTGTATGTTTAGGTGTAGGTGTAGGTGTAGGTGCAGGTCTAGGTGTATGTGCGCATGTGTATAAATTCATACACATGTATGTATGACTGTTGCTGTCGCTCCGCTCTTCTCGTCGCGCCCTGCTGCCTC